CGGCTCTTACGAAACCCACGGGATGAATAGGGGTGGTGACACTCTGTATTCTTCATCCGTCACCACACGGTATACGTTTTACGTTAGGGGTATCTTATCTTATATTCGAAACTACTCACTATGGACACTCCTCAATATGGTATAAACGTATAAGACAGACAGATATACTCGTACATTCTAATATTTTTTTGGAACAACTTAATTCAAATTGTATATATGTTACACGCATACCTTTCTAACTATTGTTCGACGTTGTACTTCACTATAAAGACAGAAAAATAGAATCAAAGTGTAAAATATAAATTTATATTATATGCACAGTGAAATAATATTTATAATATGATATAAATTTTCTCCGTGTGGTGACGGATTAAGAATATTTAGTGTCACCCCTATTTATCCCGTTGGTGTCGTAAGAGCCGAATAAAGGAGCAGACCACGCAGGACAATAGCACTGCAAACCCTTTTTTTCTTTTTTTTTAACTGCGCCTGTAATAGGAAAAATATGGGGACTGCTGTTATTAAACCATACGGACCCCTCCTAGAGTCTGTCCGCAACAGCGCGGGTACAACCTTCGGGTACTTTCTCTATTTAGACGACGTCCGGCACACGCTGACGTAGCCTTCTCGCGGCTGGCCGTTATGCCGATGGAGGGGAAAACCCGTTCCGTCCACCCGCGGCCATACTCAGGGCGGCAACAGGCGGTGGTAAGCGAGCCTCCGCCGCCCAGTTCAATGGGGACGAATTGGGTGCGATTGGAGATTGTCCTACTGGCCATGGAGCGTATGACGGCCGGTAGCGAGAGATCCCCCCCGATGACTGCAATGAGAACCCGGCGCTGCGGCGCCCAAGTCGGGCAAATTGCCAGTGTGTGTTGAGCAGAGTCCTCACTGCAATCGCAGTGGTGACCCAGTGACGCAGCGGTGCCCGGAAAGGACCTGCTGCATCAAGGAAAGGGCCTGCCGCCCTGCCCAACCAACGATGACCGGCTGGAGCGCCTCCACGGAGGCAAAACCAGCATGTGGAGTCTCCAGCCGGGACGACCAACGAGCCATCGTAGCTCAACAAGCGGCTTCACGCCACTCGCGTATTTCTACGGGCGGAGCCAACTGCTGATAACCGCACGGAACTCAGTCATCTGCCGATATACTTCGTCGAGCACTTCCACCTCCAAGTCCTACAGAGGAGTTCCGGCGAACGCACACGCCGCCTCCGTCGATAAGGTGCCGTTACCGCGTATAGCTCTAATCGCCAGTAACCGGCTGAGGGCGCCAGAGGCGTGCCCTGCCCTATTCTAGGCGATTAGAGCCGCTGTCCACACCCGTACACCGTACAGTGCTATTGACCGGACAACCCCCGTGTTTAGCCGTCTTGTCGCGACACTGGGCCCACCAAGGTTAGGCAAAAGTCGCCCAAGGGCAGATGCAGAGCCGACCAGCTTTGGAGCAAACGTCGGAAGGACCAGGCCCAGATATTTCATCTGGGCCTGAATCGGTATGAGGACCGAGTTGACAGCCATTGAGAGACTCGTAGAGATGCTCTCGGATCATCTTAATATCCCCCCCGGTAGGGGTCACGCTGCGTGGCGTTGTTCCCGCATCCGAAGGTGTCGGCCTCCACGATAGGAGGTCTACTGGTGGTCGCAGGAGTTGGATGACCTCCACACGGCCTGTACTCGTGCCCGGAAGTCCTATACCCGGCGTCACCACGGAGGAGCTGGGGAGGACCATCTTCATGAGGAGTACCGAGAGGCGCGGAAAACTCTGAAACTGGCCATTAGCCGCGCCAAACAAGTAAAAAGAAAGGAGATGCTGGAGAGTCTCGATCGTGACCCTGGGGTCGCCCCTATAGCTCCGTGCGTCAGGCTCCCCCCTTACGGACACCCAGAATAATGCGCTAGGGGGGGGCCGGACTTCACAAGAACAGCAGTCTCCGAATCCCTCCTATTACAGGCGCAGAATGGCACACTGTGTGGTTTTAGTCGATCCGATTCCGACACACCACATCGCCGCAAATCCCGTTTCGGGGAAGGCCCGTGGGGGTTTCCACACGTTCAATAAAAAAAAAAGTGGTGTATCTGGGCAGACATGCGACTCCAGCCTGTTCGAGACACTACTGAGTTTTTTGGTGGTATAAGTAAGTTAAGTGACCACCGCCGCCCAGGAATACCTACGACTCAAAATTCATAAGAGTGTAGCCGTCCTTTGAGCCCCCGCTTTCTCTCTCGTTACCCCATCCACGATTAGTGTTATGCCTTACCCTAGTGCTCACCCTGTCCTTACTACAAATTCCCGTCTTTGTTTATAACGTCCAAAAATAACTGTTACTATTATACAGCAAACAGCCAAAGGAGACTAGCGAAAACTCTTTGCTAAAAGAAATGATTTAAACATGTTAACCCGTGATTTCTATTAAATGGTTAATTATACATGTTGCCTATATAACTACACGTAAAAGAATTAATTATTCAGGTCATATGTCACTATAATGTTAACGTGCACTGCACGTCTTTCAGTTATTATGACATAAACATTTATTAAGTCAGTAATTATAGTGACTTAGTGAGTATTTATACATAACCGGCATCCGGACACCTCCTGGTGCCTACCCTCAATAGCGCGAGACCTTAAGCTTAAACTCTCTATTGAGGGCAACACCCAGGCACACGCGAACATCGCCTCTTCGCGGCTCGCCATTATAGTGGGTGGAGGGGAAAACTCATCCCAGCCATTCGCAGCCTCACTCAAGGCGCTGGTATGCGCTCCTCTGTCGGCCGATGCACCGGCGGCGAATCGAATCTAAGTAAAAACCTTCTTCGCCCGGTACTGAATCGTCCGCTGACAAAGTTCGGCGAGTACTTCCCCCTCCAAATCCCACGGAGAAGTTCCGGCCAAGGTATGGCTGTAATTGCCAACACCTACTTGAAAAGGCCAGGGTCGTATCCTATTCTGAGCAAGGCAATAAAACCGCTTAATGCAACGATTTTGCAGGAAGTATTTAAAAACAAAAGTCTGAACATGGGTGAGATTATCCGTCCGAACGTCTTTAAAAGAAAGCCAGCGCCAGTCAAGATTATTATCAATGAACAGGAAATGATCCTCGATAGAGGAACTAAACGGTATAATAGATCTGTTGGACGTTACAGGTGGTAGTTTATCTAGGTCTAGCCTTCCGATGAGACTTTGACTGCCTACAATGATGGCCTGGCATTTAGATGGTTTAACTGTCAAATGAAATCTGTCAGACGTGTTACTAATATAATATTAATACCCGTAGCCGTAGGTATACGGTGGCTTGATAGTGTAGATGCAAGTCATCGGCGTGCGATGTATATGATTTTGAGTGATGTAATTTATAAAAACAGCATAATACTCGAGGAGAAAGAATAAATTGAACTTTAAAGTTTCGTTCTCTAACAACTATACATATGTATGGTGCTGGAGACTAAATAAAACGATAAAGATAGACAGATATATCTTTGAGTTTCCGAAAATCTAATTCATTATTGGCAGGTATAAATTATATACATTATGTATGTAAATATGTTTGAATTGTAAGTAGACCTAAATAGCACACAAATTAGTAATTAAAATACTTTTAAAGTAAACAATATTTAAATAATTGTATAATAATTTATTATTGTATCATCACGATCTTTGACTTACGTCAATGAATTTAAAATAATGAAAAATAATTATATCGCCCTAGCACAATCGATCATAACAGATAGCAGAATGAAACATCAAAAATTAATTAATTAAATGGGTAGATAGGCGGATAAGTAAATGGATAAGTAGGCAGGTAGACAATAGATAGGTAGTTAAGCAGAGGTTGGGATGGTAGGGAGGAAAACCCAAGCCAAGGTGGAACAGAATATACCAAGGGTTGCGTGGCTAAGGGGGAGCTTAGTCGATAATATTCGAGCTCTGGAGAAAGGGGGACCTTCAGTTTAAAGCACCCTTGTCGTGGTGAACGCGGGGCTATGCCGCGGTGGACCCAGCTGCTCGTGGGAACGAAGTAATAAAAATGCAAAATAAAACAAATAAGTAGGTATAATTTAAGGTCGGAGACCGGCCGGAGGTCGCCGGGACTCATCTAGAAATAATAATAATAATAACCAAACTGTCAGACAGACTGACAATGACAATATTAGCTTAAATTCTTTTGCATTTTTGCATATCAGTAACTAAACCATCCATCAACTAGCTCGTACAAACCTACACCGGTGTCTTTCGTTGATGAACATTTACAAGAAACACCGGATCCAACCTTAGCTGTTACGAAGAATGTGAATGCCTTATTACCTGCGTCCACTAAGAGTGGAAAACCTAGAGTACGCATGAGGTGTAGTAAGGAAGTAAACCTTGTCATCATGCGTATGTACTACCAAATCAATAAAAGAGAGACAGACATGACAACATATAGGAAACAATTGCCTCATTACATTAAGTCCGCCTTTGTACAAAATGTGTATTAAGTTTGAAATTAAAATAAATAAATAAACCCTTTATCAGTCACATGTTAAATTTTCATATGCATGACAAGTAGATTGCACGTAGGGAGTAGGTATTTGCTGGAAAAAAAATATATACTTTTAACCCTTAAGAAAGGAAAAAGGGATTGATTATTATTTGATTTCATTAATTTAATGTTTTTGGAAATTTGTTCAAAAATTATATTATATCTAATTAACAGCTAACAACAACTTTTGAACATCCGTGACATAGTAGTATGTATGAGAATGTAATATATTAATATTTATGTTTTATTTTGTATAATTAATACTTTTCATTTGATTAATTTGACTAATCATAATGCTCATTGTTGAAAGTGGATATCACTAAAGTGACAGTCAGTTAAATTTAAAATGAGAATTCGCGATTGTGAAAAGTTTCTCGGACTTAAAAATAAAATTAAATGGCCGTTTACCACTTTTATGTTTTTATATCATGTACTCGGAATACGTTGGATTTGGCACTATGCGTTCCCTGTAAAAGCAATGACTGTTATTTTTTGTGAGTATTTTTTAAGGGTCATAATAGTAGTATTGGTAATATTTGCCACGATTCTAAGAAAGACACCATTTACTGTTCGCGGCAATAACATACTCAAACTTATTTTTAAAATATATTTTATATGATATTAATTAGATATTTTGTGATTTCAGACATGGTCTTCTATTTGTTTAACGGACTGAGTATAACATGTGGGCTTCATCGGCTATTCGCACATAAATCCTACAAAGCCAAGACTCCCCTTAGAATATTTCTTGTCCTAATCTTCACCACGGTTGGCCAGGTAAGTAATGACTATCACCTTTTCTTTATTTATTTTAAAACTTTAGACACAAATTAAGAATAGTAGACGGGAAATGGATAATAAGGTGTACCAGATACACTTAAGTTAAGAATTTTACCGTCTCGCACAAAAAAATAAGAGAAGAAAAGGTAAGAAACAGTGAAAAATATTGTGGCGATTACCACGTACAGTGAAACGAAGAAACATACTATAGCGCCATTTAACGAAGACACACTGAACAACGGAGAAACTGTTAATTCTTTATCGATATGAAAAATTCTCTCACCCAGTATTATGCTACAATACGCATACATATATACATAATTATTATACCAAAATTTATAAAGAATCAAATTTGTGATGAGTCTGCAGTATTTTGTGTGATGAGAGCTTGTATCTTCACCTTAAATAAATGACGACTGGGTGCCATTCTCATTTCCTGGGGAAGAGATTCAACGCAGAAATGTGGAAGGGGCATAACAGAAGAATAATACTTATAGAGCGAAGGGTACTGTTATGACTGGAACACAGCAACTGGAAGGAGGATGTCTTGTCTGTATTAATAGAACGGCAGTAAACTCATTCTTAAAACTGAACATTACTTTTAGTTAAATAACTCTTCCAATACAATTTGAAACGATAAAAAAAGATTTATCAATAATAGAGCACTACTAATAACTTAGATACCTACGTATCAGACAAAATCTTTCATTACTTGTATGACTGTTTTTTTTACTAAGTAACTTCAGATCAGCGATATCAAGCTTAACAAATACACCGTCGATCTAGTTAGTATGTCGAGACGTATAGTTTCAAACTACTCTAAAACAATCCAGCAAAAAATCCAGAAACTAACATAAATGTTTTACATGGATACAACTGTACTTTTATAGATTATTTTAATTGTATCTATGGCTTTACAGAATAGAGGTACGTTATATAGCTAAAAATAATAATAATAAACTTTTTATTGCAGACCATGGTGTCAAATTTGTTAGTAACAATATTCTTAGAGACTAGTGTTAGTACAGTATATAAAGAAAAAAACCATAAAACAAAACAAAACAAAGAAAGATAGACATATACACATGCAACAATCATTGCTGCGCTATTCCGTACGCAATTGCGCAGCAACGATTGATGTACAGTGAAATTAGTCTCGAGAATTTTTTGCATATGTAGTGGTGTGTATATTACTCAGATCTTAGAGCGCGTTTCCACTATATCGTTCTGGCCTATACAAAAATGTTTCGATATCCTAACATTACTATTTAATTTTATACTTATCGATAGCAACACTCTGATTTTTGTTTTCAATAAAAACAAGTTTTTATTTTAAAGAAAAAGGTTTTGACTTTATAAAAAAAAAGGTGTGTGTGCGATTCACACACGATAGAAGTGAAACTTCAAAGAGGAGACCGATATTTTAATTATTTTTTTTTTTCCTTTCATCTAGGTTTTTAAAACTCCGGTGGGGTCTACGGGGGGGTCAAAATTTTTGTTATTTTTGGCCTAGGACGCACCGTTTCCGAGATATTTCAATCTAAAGCAAAAAATCGTCACTTGATAGTGGAAAGTGGAAACACGCACAAAACCAGAATAAACCAGTTTACGCTGTCCGCAGGCATACACTACTACAAACGCAAAAATTTCTCCAAGCTAATTTGCCTTTAACCACAGTCCAGCCGACCAGAGATCATGTTCAAGATACTGTTAACGCTGCCGCGTACCCTGCGCACCACCACCACCACCACCATATTTTACGCGTTGTAGCATAAAAACAATCTACGCGATGTTCAGCAAACATCCCTGATGCACTACAGATACCCTGCATCCCCAGCAGCACCCTGAAGGCGTTATTGTATTGGACTCGGAATGCACTGTATGATGCTTGAGTATAGTCAGCCCACAGGCTGCACTTGTAAAATGAAGTGCAATATAAAATTAAATTAGACCGTTCCCAAAAAATAATCGAAAAAAAAACAAGTGTGAAGTTTTGATATAGAGGGTTTTACAACTGGCTTCATAGTGTAGAGACGTTTGCAAGTTTTTTTTTTGAAATAGCGGAATTTTAAACTAACTTTACTTGAAGCAGATGATCCGGTTATGTAACAAAATAACTAGTCAGTAAACAACGATCGCTGTCATAACATGCGTTTGCCCATTGCAGCCACGATTATGAAAAACAGGATTTTAACTAACGTGTTTAATTAATTGAGCATGCACAATAAAACTATGAAATATTATACAAAAAGGTATCATCATTTAAGAGCGCGTATAAAGCCAGCAAAATTTAAGAATTCACCCGCGCTCCCCTGCCCGCTCCCCTCACATCAAAAACGATCGCGCGTGTACCTACGCGCTCGCTCGACGCGTATCTTCTGTAGTATACGTATAATAATCAGATGAAACAACTGTATTCAAAGTATGACTGCGTTATACAATATTACGAAATGTTTTGTGTACACGAATAATACGTAAATAGTAAGTTAGTAGGAGGTGACTATACCACTGATACTGAACACGAATCAATAAAAAATCAATACCAAAAAATTATATTATATTTATTTCAAATATTCAAGCAATCAATCATATCAAATATCAATCACTAAAAAATCACAATAAAAATCATATTCAATCGCGTCTTTCTTATCAATATTCCGTAATTGGTATAATATTTTCTTGTAATAAAGGGCTATGGGGTCCAGCTGCAAAATTATTTGAACTAACGAGATCTCGGTCTCCTTCAATTATAAATCTTTCAGAAGCAGTACTGCTCGGACCGGGTTGGTCTCGGTCTCCTTCAATTATAAATCTTTCAGAAGCAGTACTGCTCAGACCGGGTTGGTCACGTGATATGTTTAAGGGCCCACTACATATTTTCTCTTCAGGTTTTTTAAAGATTTGCCGCGTCATACAAGGAACCTTTGTTTGATAGATTTAGTGCTTTTGTCACCGACTTCGAATCGTTTCTATTATCAACTAACCTTAACATTATCAACGTGGGCTCGGAGCCGACATTTGTCACATCCAGGGCCCAAACTATAATTGATCTTACATTAGCAAGTGAGCACGCATCGCAACACATATCGAACTGGCATGTTTCGAACGAAGCATCGTGCTCAGACCATCGCTGGATCAAATTTAACTTTGAAATGAAACTTAAACTACCCGATCCCCGACGGAATCCCCGCACGATGGACCGGAAACGGTATGAACATCTTACTGCGGAGAAACTGCGAAGCATCAACCCAACATACGCTATTGGGACTGTTAAGGACATTGACAGTCATGTTGTCACCCTAACACAGACACTGATCGATTGCTTTGAACAAACATGCCCACTTTCTACACCCAGAACTGGACCACAGAACAAACACCAATGGTGGGGTCCGGAACTGGAAAGACTACGTCGTAAAGTGAGAAAGTTGTTCAATAAAGCAAAAAACTCGCGATTAGACCAACATTGGGATGCCTACACGCAGGCTCGACTACAATATAAGAAGAGAATCAGAACCAGGAAAACTGAGTGCTGGAGAAACTCCTGTACTAACATAGAGAACAACAACCAGGCTAATAGAGTCAAAAACATACTGTGTAGTAGAGGCGAACACAATCTTGGCTGCCTGAAGAAGCCTGATGGTGAGTATACCAAAACAGACTCGGAAGCCTCAGAGCTGTTATTAAAAACACACTTCCCTGGATGTCGCATATCAGATGTGATGGAAAAATGGGAAGACAGATGGAAAAAACCACCAGATGATACAGACTGGGATACGGCAAAGTTGTCAACAATGACAAACTAAGATGGGCAATTAACAGCTTCCTACCATTCAAGGCGCCAGGACTAGATGGTGTCTTCCCAGGCCTACTGAGATGGTGTGATATGACACTACTGGACCATCTTGTAAAAATTTATAGGGGCTGCCTGGCGCTTCAGTACATCCCCTTGAAATGGAGAGAAGTTAAAGTAGTCTTCATCCCCAAACCTGGTAAAGGTGACTACACACAACCCAAATCACACCGACCTATTAGTCTCACATCTTTCCTACTAAAGGTTCTCGAGAGGCTAATATATCTATTAGGAAAATCAGGGAAACTGCGTTAGTCAGTCACCCTCTACACCTCAATCAACACGCATACTTGATGGGTAAATCAACAGAATCTGCCCTACATCGAGTTGTTACATATATAGAAGACAATCTAAATCATAAAAGGTAAACACTGGCCACCTTTATCGATATCGAGGGAGCCTTTGACAAGACCAACTTCACCAGCATTAGCCAAGCTCTGTCTAGGCATGGTGTTGATTCCACAATCTCAGGGTGGATCGACAGCATGTAAAGATATAGAGCTATTCAATTCACTGTGAGCGAAGTGACTAGAGGAGTGGTGGCTAGAGGTTGCCCCCAGGGCGGTGTACTCTCCCCCCTTCTATGGAACATTGTTGTGGATGAGCTCATCGCACAACTTAATGACCAAAGATTCCTCACAATAGGCTATGCAGACGATCTTACTATTCTCATCAGCGGTCCTTTTGAGAGCATTACATGCGATAAAATGAGACTTGCACTGAAGATCGTGGAACAATGGTGCGTAGCACACAACCTGACAGTGAACCCATCCAAAACAGAGATGATCATGTTCACAAACAAACGCAGCCTAGGAAATCTCAGACTTCCCAAGCTATTTGGAACACAACTTACTCTTACCAAAGAGGTCAAATACCTAGGAGTAATACTGGACAGTAAACTCCTGTGGAATAAGCACCTCGATGAAAAACTGAATAAAGCCTGCATTATTTTCTGCCAATGCAAGCGGCTACTCGGCAAAAGCTGGGGACTATCACCCAAAATTACTTTATGGCTATACAGGACAGTCATAAGACCAATAATCACTTACGGTGCTGTTGTCTGGTGGCAGAGAACAGAGCTAAGCACTGTCATAAACAAACTGCAGCAATTCCAGCGACTCCCATGCTCCGCGGTCACTGGCTGTATGCGCACAACGCCTACTGCCGCACTGGAGGTGGCTCTTGGTCTGCCACCCCTGGATCTATTCATACAGCAGGAGGCCGCCATGGCGATCATTAGACTCCAACACCTGGGTATATGGCACAAAAGTTAGGGATCGCACTCCAAATTATGGGATCAATTGGTGGAATACGAACCACTGATAGCAGCTCCATGAATCCCAAAACACCATATCTTCACAAGAAGATACTACATCCAGATACATGGAAATGACCGAGATCAATCCAGCATTAACGAAGTCCGAATTTACACGGACGGTTCCAAGACTAGGTCAGGAACTGGAGCCGGAGTTTTCTCGCAAGACCTAAATATAAACATATCACTAGCGTTAGGCCAACACAGTTCCATATTTCAATGTGAATGGGTGGCAATAACTTACGCTGCCACAACGGCCATGTCAAGGGGTATCAAGGACTACAACATCCGAATAATATCCGACAGCATGGCCGTCTTAAAGGCATTGGAGGGCAACACAATGACCTCTGGTATTGTCTTCGAATGCCACCAAGCACTGGAACAGCTCGCTATATTCAATGGGGTACTCCTCCAATGGATTAAAGGGCACAGTAACTCACACGGGAACGATGCCGCAGATGAGTTGGCAAGGAGGGGCTCGGCAACCCCAACCTCTGGCCCAACCCCACTCCTGCCCATATCGTTTAAACAAATACGATGCTGGGTCAGGCAACGGACCTGTGAAGCACACAACCGGAGGTGGAAAAACTCACCCGGCTGCAGACAGTCCAAACTGGTGCTGAATCAAGTCACACCACGACTCACCTGCAGACTGATCAGTCTTAGCAGACCGGAAATCAGAATGGTTGTCGGAACTATTACAGGACATCTAGCCCTGAACCGACAACTATTCATAATCAATGCGACAGACAGTCCCCTGTGCAGGATGTCTGGAAGCTACAAAAAAGAAACATAATAGTCGAATTGATAACCTCCTTCTTTTGGAAGTCGGTTAAAAATAGGTTTTAAATACCTAATGGACATACTTAAATAGCTTCGAAATCGACATAAATATATTTCATCGAACCAACCACCAACTAAAAGCTTGTGTTTATTTTGCATATACTATACCAAACTATACTGCCCGCGTTACTTATGAGTGATCATAGAATTATGGAGAGTGTAATTATTATTATTTTAATATTTTTATAGAATACTCGCAAGATCATTATGTAGTCCATACGTCTATCTAGACTTTTGGAAGATATCATAATTACACTAGGGGAAAATGATCAGAATTTTTTATTGTGAAGAATAATATAACAAAAAGCAAAAGTAAATAGCTACCTATTATATATCTAATTTATTACCTCCTATCCTAATAATCTAATAATTGAATTGATAATAACTCTCGTCTCAACGGAGCGGTAGCGACTGATGTCTGAAATAGAAATATGCTTGAAGCTCCCGCAACGTGCGACGGACGATGACTTCTTGAGCGGAATAAAAACGTAGTATGCGCCAAAACTGTTATATCGTCTAAATCCAAAACTAAAAGGAATTACATAAAATGCCTAAACAAAGCCTTAACTCTTGTATAAGTATAATTAATTATCAAATTTTTGTCGCAATAGGCATTACCATATCGAGTACAAAACGGAAAAATATTAGAATTAGGGGTTACTTCGTGATTTTTTTCTATCGAGGAAATGTTATTATTTCATGTTTTTGATCAAAGTGAACCCTCGGAAATATCATGTAGTTATTCATACATTTTTATTTTAAGATTTGGTCCGGAATTTTTCATGTAAAATCAAAAATAAGATTGGTAATTTTGCTTTATACGCCCTCTTAAACCGTCCTCGCAAAGATCACATGGTATTTATGTCAGATCTCAATCAAGAGGTTCTGATTTTCTGTCTCCAAGTGTTTTTTAAACGTTAATTCCTCTTCGTCTCTATAGTCATTAAAAGGCAGAACATATATGGCCACCTTGTTGAATATATAGACATAAAAACACCAACTCGATCTGTGCGTATCCCACAGCTGTTTAGTGTTCTCACAAGCAATAACAACGTGTTTCAGAATAATCCTTAGCATAGAATGTCTAAAAATTATAACGCTATTTTCTCACAGGTAGACATTTTTCACGGCAAGCTTAGATCTTTTAAATCTTTCTTGCTACATTATTTTACAAAATTTCTTTAATTTAATTTGTTTTTTTTTTCTATATTTTATTTAAATCCTTTTCTGTACAATACAAATCCTATTTATTATTATTATTATTAAAAATATACTAATATTTAAGGCATAAAAAGATATTATTATATTAAAGAAGATTCTGCCAAGTGTGTTGTGCGAAAAAATAATCGGCGCATTAAGATTCTGCCAGATAGAGGGAACCCTCGAAAAAATCATTGTAGTTAGATAATCCGTCACTCAGACAGTCAATATGACTGGTTGAAGATAGTAATTGGTATTGCTATGTGATAATTTTTGCCTGGTCTAATAGGTGCATTTTTTCTCTCATAGTAGATCTCCATTAAATCATCTATATGACGCAATAATTAGGACGGTTTCTGTCAGTGCTATATCTCCCTAAGTCATTTTTGTAGTAAGTAATATTTAAACTCCTCTTAAACCGCCAAGTCTTGACTTTAAAGCGCTGTATTTCTTATCGTCTAAGTCCAGCAGTGGACTGTTAAAGGCTGTTGATGATGATGATGATGATGATGATTTCTTATCGTCCGATGAGACAGTAATATATCGTTCAATTTCTTCACATCCTTTTCTAATTTAATAACCACTAAATAAAACTTTGCTTCATCGCTTAATTAATAAAAAATCTGGCAATCGGGAGAAAATTGTTACCGCTGCTAGCTCTAGGGCTTTATTGCTGATGGTCATTAGAAAGTATCAGGTATTTCGTATAGTGCGCAATGTGCGCTACAAGATGGTTAAACCGACTGACACATTTCTAAAGTGCTAACAAGTATATTGTATAAGTGTAATTACAAATACAAAGTTTACTTAGTTGTCGTAAATTATTATAAGATGACTGAATGCAATTAAATGAGTTATGAGTAATCTAGGCAGATACACTAGAATACCTAAATTAGTCCCAAAACTATGAAAATTTGGAAAAAGATTTTGCTGTAGCAGAACAAGCAGATTATGAATATTTTTTTAAACGTTTGACTCTTTTTTAGTACTATTTTCGGTTGATGTGCTCTTAACTTACTAAAATCTTATAAAACTCTGACGTTTATCAGTTAACAGGCTCACACCAGGATTTCGAGATTATCTTTCTACAGTTTCAAAATCCCGGGATTAGGATTTTATAGTTTGTTAAAAGCTGGGATCGAATTCTCATGGCCTGTCTTCTTTAGTAAAGAGTTCCTGTTTATGTTTCGTAAAAAGTCAGTGATTTGTGTCCATTTCAATTGTGTCTATTAACCAAATATTTAATTTTTAGAATTCGGTTTACCAATGGGTTCGCGATCACCGTCTACATCACAAACATAGCGACACAGAAGCAGACCCACACAATGCTAGACGTGGTTTATTCTTCTCACACATTGGTTGGTTGCTATTGGTTAAAAATGACGAAGTTAAAAAAGAAGGCAAGAAAATTGACATGAGTGATCTTGAGCAGGATAAATTCATAATGTTTTTTCACAGGTAAAATATTCCAAAATATTATAAAATTTATAAAATCTTTTCTTTCCTAAAAAAAGCTTTGATGATACAGTAAAATCGTAGAAAAGAACTAGTTAACTAATTGATTTATAGAAAAGAAGTTTTATAAGAGTCAGAAACAACGCGGCATAATAAAATGAAAAAAAAAACTATCTAACTTTGCTACAAGAAACAGGCACTTTCATACATATTCAACTTCACCATCGTAATGCTCCTGCCATTCGCCCAGTTCTATATAGGATCGACGCAACATGTAACATGACATAGAGATAGCGTAGATACCAGTTGTGACAAGCCACACGTTATAGGCTTGTTACAACTGGTATCTACACTATCTATTCGACAATGTGAGCGTTAAAGTCCCCACGTATTACAATCTTTGCGGATGAGTTCTGCTACAATACAGAATCTGTAGACATTTGGACGTGGTCCACCAGTCAGTTTCGGTATCGCCGCTATGGGACCTGTAGAGGCATGCATAGATGCAGGAATGGGCTTGGTCGTCGCTGTCTACACGGAGCGACAAGATGGAGAGGTCCCGTGCTTTAAGATTGCCAAGGCGCCGAGAACTGATATCATCTCTAGTATACACGCGGACTCTAGCCCTTGCAACAAAGGAGTGTTCCGATAATAGCCAGGGTAGGAGAGGTAGGATGTGTTCGATGGAGTGAGGATAAAGTACGCGCCTTTGGAGACGATTTATTATTTCGTGCGCATAGCAGTTGACACCTTAGGCAGTTAGGGTACAGACGTTAAGGTGTTTGTACATGAGTTAGGGCGCAGGCTGAACAAAGTGGCTGGTGACTCCCGCTCAGGGTCGTTAATGGTGCAGAGGTTGACCGGGGCCTTTAGCGTTGGAACGCAGCTAGCGTTATGGGCACCTTTGCGCCGGGAGCGACCAGAGGTGGGTTATTTAATATATAGATAATTTGAGTTTTATTTACTAGTAATCAATCAGTGTAATTTATATTTAAAATGTAATTAATAAAAATTATTCATTTGAATATTTAGCAACAAATTATGTAATTATACATTTTTAATCATATTTCTTGAAAACAGGCATGCAGCTGTGCTTACTGTGCTCTTTTCTTTCGTCTTACCACCTATGGTTGGAATAATATTATGGGAAGAAAACTGGAAATGTGCAGTTGCTTGGCTGGTATTCATGAGATGCCTCTTTGTACTTCACGGTTCATTAACAGTCAACAGTATTGCTCATGCATATGGATATACACCTTATAACAAGTAAGATTTATAATTGAAAATAATAACTTTTGTCTATTTTTATTATGTCTTGGGTTTGATTCATAATTTTGTGATGTGCACGATCTTTTGTTTGTGTCTGATTCTAATTTATTTATAAAATGAATGTGTTTATATAGAACTTTATTAACAGTCATATACATTCAGTCAGTAACATGTTTATCAACAGTCTGGTTACGTAATCAGGTGGTCCTATTTGATATGTGCAAAGTTTGTTTCAGAATGAGGTTTAAAAAAAAAGAAAGTATTTTTAATTTATTTGCAATTATAAGTACTATTCTGTAATGAGAAATATTTATTGGTGAGATCTTGGGTACATCATGTTATTCTTTATAATGAAATAAAATTATGTGCTAATATCAGCTTTATTTTATAACGTCTTCTACAGTTATCACAATAATTAATTTTTAGTTCACACACATCGTTTTGCTCAGACTCCCCATCTTACTTCCTTTTTTCTCTCACTCCCATATCACTCTTACATTCTAATAATCTTACGCTCCGTTTCACTACTCTTATCTTATTAGTTTATTATTTTAAAACATAAATTATTTCTAATATAAAAATGCCTACAACTCGGCCATTCTGCCTTTAGTCTGTCCCCAGACTATAAAAATAAACCAAGAATAAACTAAATTATCTTCTCTTCTAACAAACTATCTTTCACAAAACAAAACTTCTATAAAAAACAAAATATTTGTAACTTCACCTTAACAATGTTAATTAAGTTGTTATGTTCTACCTTGGTACACAAACACAAGAACACAACAATAGAAGATCATCATTCATCATTATTAATCTTATAAAATATTTGTTACCTTTAAAACTATAAATTCTCTAACATTAATTATGACAGTTAACAATTTCAAAGCATAAGTTTTAATCCTCACTATTATAATAAAAAATTCTATTTAGATTAGAGTCTATTTGATACAGATCTTCTAGAAAAATAAACAAGTTACTACAACAAAATGACAGATTAGACAACCGGATGGCGTAGTGGTTTGTGTAACGGACTGCTATTCTAAAGGTCGCGGGTTCGATTCCCGCTCAAGTCAAACATTTGTGTGCATGAACATTTGATGTTTGATTTGGTCTGGGTGTTTCTATGTATAATATGTATGTATTTACAAAAAAAAAGTACTTATATCAGTTGTCTAGTACCCATAGTACAAGCTCTGCTTAGTTTGGGACTAGATGACGTTGTGTGTATGTGGTAGAATATTATTATTATTATTTACCTTAATTACCTAACACCTTAAGCTTAACGTGGTAGTTATAATTAAACAATTCAAGTTTCTTTCTATTATATGAAAATAAAGTTGTATCCGACAAATAAGAATAAAATAGACAGGTATTTTAATAATGTTTCTATACATTTGTGTATCCACATCGTATTAGACAACTCTACATTCTAAAAGCAAGGCTGTAAGTGCAGATAAACTCATGGCCACAACTTCATACAATCTGCACCCGTTGAAGTTCTCACAGGTCCTTCTGCATTAAGATCCACTTTTTCTACATGATACCTTCCTTTCCCAACTTTCCTTGTTATTTTATATGGACCCAAAAACTTCGGTTTTAGCTTCATAGCATTTCCAAACTGAGTTCTACGAATGGCAACTATGTCTCCTTCATTATAGTCATGGTTTTCTTTTCTTTTTCTATTAAATGTCCTCATATTCTCTTCCTGTATTTTCAAAATCTGCGCCTTAGCTTGTTGTCTTAAATTATCTCGCTTTTCCATAAAATCCTGTCTGCATTCTTCTTCTATTAAATCAATAATTTGTATGTCTTCTTTCTGTCTCATCCTTGTTCCAATAAACAAATTAAATGGTGATGTATTAATAGATCTCTGATAAGTACTATTGATAGCACGTTGTACTTTGCTTACATACTTATACCAATGAGCTGGCTCCTGAACACACATCTTAGTCAGTACCGAGATAATCACTCTATGAATGCGCTCAACTTGACCGTTGCCCCTTGGGATACCTGTAGTTACTGTATGATGCTGAATGCCTTCTTCCTGACAATAATCTTGAAAATCTTTTCCTGTAAAAGCTGTTCCTTTATCCGTGATTAATCTCGCTGGGTTATCAAAATCTTTTTGATGCATTTTTAATTTATCTACAGTCTCCCTTGAAGTTAACGTCTTGGTGGGGTAGATCCAAACAAATTTTGTATAGGCATCAATAACAGTCAAAATGTAATTGTATAACTTCTTTGTAACATCCAATGGACCAAGATGATCACAGTGTAGTGTCTCAAGTGGCAATTCACCTTTTTCTATAGGACTCAGAAAACCTTCTTGTTTTCCCTCCTTCTTGTTTGTCAAAATGCATGGAACACATCCAAATATTACTCTATCCACTTTCTTACTTAAATCTTTTATATAATAATCCCTTTCAATAATATCTATTGTCTTTTGTCTTCCAAAATGTCCTACTTCATGTGCTCTTCTTATTATTTCACTATCCATAACTTCTGGTATAACTAATTTCTCTGCCCCTTTATAAATCAAATTATTCTTAATGTAAAAATCTTTGTATTCTTTCTCCTTGAGTATTTCTCTAATAACATTTAAACTTTCATCTTCCTTCTGAGCTTTACATATTTTAGCATGCAATTCTGATTGAATAGCACAAACATGGGGATTCCTACTCAATGCATCCACATGTGACATCTTCCTTCCAGCTCTATGAACTATTTCATAGTCAAAATCATGAAGAAATAAAACCCATCTTGCTACCTTAGTTGAAATTTCATTTTTGTACAGTGTCTTTTGAAATGCTGAACAGTCAGTTATCATTTTAAAATGAATGCCTAGTAAATATTTTCTAAATTTTCTTACACCTTCAACAACTGCTAACGCCTCAAGCTCATAACTATGATAATTTTGCTCAGTTTGACTAGTTTTCTTACTCATATAATGAACAGGATGTAATCTTCCATCTTTACTATCTTTCTGCATTAAAATAGCTTCAAATCCATACTTAGATGCGTCTGTATGAAGCTCTGTATCTAAACCAACTTCAAAGATCTTCAGTACAGGTTCACTGCACAGCGTAGTCTTCAGTGTTTCAAATGCGGTTCTTTCTTATTCTCCATAATAAAATTGTTTGTCTTTCTTTAACAAGTCGGTCAGAGGTTTAGCTATGAGTGCATAATTCTCAATATACTTGCGGAAGTATGAGGTCAACCCGACAAAACTATGAACCTGTTTAGTTGATTTTGGCTTAGGAAAATGTGCAATTGCCTCAATCTTGCTGGGTGCGGGTTTCACAGTTCCACCCTCAACAACATGCCCCAAATACTCCACCTTCTTTTGTAACAGCTGACATTTTTTCCAATTTATTTCTAACCCGTACTCGGATGCCACCTTTAGAACCATCTTCAGTCGATCAAATCCTTCCAACTCATCTTTACTCAGAATCACAATATCGTCTATAAAAATTAAAACTACACCATCTGCCATTAATTCTCTGAAAATCATACTGATGAACCTACTAAAATACTTTGGACATGTAGACAAACCAAAAGGTGCACGGAGGAACTCATACTGTCCTTCCGGACTGCTAGTTACAAAGGCAGTGTATTTCACCGACTCTTCATCAACGCTTAAATGAAAAAATCCATTTTTCAAATCTAATGTACTAAAAACTCTGTATTTACTCAACTTGTCAATATGATCCTCTATCACTGGCAATGGAAACTCACACTTAACCATTTTCTGATTAATTTTCCTATAGTCCACACAAACTCTGAAGCTACCATCTTTCTTTCTTACTAAAACCAAAGGAGTTTGAGTTTGAGTTTGATTCTTTACTACTTCTTCCTCCTTAATTGCTAATCTCCTAGGACGTTGAACAACAGGGACATCATCTTTCATAATAATTTTTAATTTAATTGGCGCCTCCTTCACTTTTAATGGCTTATAACTGTTGATAAGTTCTTGAACTGCAGGGATCTCAGACATGGGTTCTTCACATGCTGTAGGTAAACATAACAAGCACAGATTGCAATCATCTTGCGGCATGAGTCTGACTGCACCCTTGTCCAATAAAACAATTGTGTTTTCTAAAAACGACTGACCTAATATGACTTGATAGGGTATAACACCAGATGGAACAATATAGAAACAAGTCTTAAAACTATTGTTATCAATATACAAGTTAGTAGTAAATTTACGTAGGGTACATACCTTCGCTGATCCTAACCCTGATAACACAACAATATCTTTCACGAATGATACATCACTTAAGTTGAAAAATAAATCAGCTGTGACCAAATTATAGTCACAACCCGTATCTATCAAGCTATCGATCGTAACATCACATATTTTAATAGTTTTCACAGCTTCTTCTTCTTCTTCCTTTAATTCAGTGGCTCCATCGGATGTCGATGATTTTGCCAATGTCTAGGTGGGAGGTAGATTTATTAGTTAATAGGTTGAAAATATTTTGAATACCAAGAGGGAATTGTTGTGATTTCAATAGTTTCTGTATGTGGTTCTGTGGGACAGTAGAGAAAAAAAAAAAAAGAAAAAAAGGACATAGAAAAAAATATAGCAGTAAAGGTATTAGGAAACTTTATAAATTTATTTTATTTATACGAATAAAATGGTAAAGGATCCTGACAAATGGGGTATATACTAGAGTTAAGAGATAAGCCAAATTAACGGGTCGGGATATTTGTTGAGGGAGTAGATCATACAGAGGTACGACCAATTTAGGACAAGAAAAGAAAATATGTTCCAGAGTGCCTTCATCGAGACCACACTCACATAGAGAGTGATCACGAACTCGAATTTTGGCAAGAAAAACTGGGGTACTGACAAATCCTAATCGTAAACGAATTATAGTAGAGGTGGCTGACTTATTAACATGTTTTTGTTTGAAGAACCAGGATCTAGCAGGAATTAAGGGTTGTAGAGAGCCGTAAAATTTACCCTTGATCATTCTACTGCTTTGCCATGTGTT